CTGGATCATCTCGAAGACTATCGCCACAAAAAACACGCCGAAAAGCATCTCGATAACCGGTTCCACTCGACTCTCGATTTCCAAATATTTATCTAGTCGGTGCTCGAGGGTGAAAGAAGAAACCAGGCAATATACAGGGTGTTTCATTTAACTTGACAAATCGAAATATCTCGAGAAATACGCGTCGTTCGAAAAAAATTGTTATGTTCAGGAAGAAAATATTTACGAATTGCTCGAGAGTGACGACGAATAAAATAATTATTAAAATTTTTTAAATAATTCTTTGTACATTGAAAATATTTGAATTATATATTTTCTAAATAATATCATAAAATATCTTGTCAAAATAAATAATCAACAAGTAAAAACCGAGTTTCTTTTATTACTTTTTTTATAACTCCTCACTACGAAGAAAAAAGTCTCCATTGTGAAACGAGTTGAGCAAAAGTTAATTCCCCGGTTACAGGTTACTTTAAATTTTTTTTTTAATTACGTACTTTTTTCCGTAGAATCTGAATCTATAATAAAAACTAGGGGTTTCCATTTAAGATTCCAATTTTAGCACAAATGAATGGCCCTTTAAAAATATTGATGGTTTATTTGAAAATTTTTTTTCGTACGATGCGTATTTCTCGAAATATTTTTATTTGTCAAGTTAAATAAAACACCCTGTATAGAGAGACAGGCAGATTAGCCTCTGGTCATGAATGGGAGAGGCATCAGTCGGAATGCGTCCGCGTCGCGGAGAGTCGACGTCACACACGATGCATCGCGGGCGATTCGAGCGAACGCCAGTGTAATCGTATTCTTCGTGGTCGGCGATTAACGTTACGCGTGATTCCCCCCCTCTCAATCCCTCGATCGAAACAACTGAGCTCGATGATCGCGGGTGTAACCCTAGCCACACCTCAGTGGGGAGACCCCCGTAAAATCCGAACCAACGGCGCGAGTTTCCTCGACGTTTGAAACTTCGTTTCTTCTCGCGTTTCACGCGGAATCGAATTCTGGCCGTGTCCGGGGAAAAGAATCGCCGAGGCTCTCGTGTCGGCCTACTGATCGAATGGCGGATCATCGGCGACGCAGTAAAAGTTTTCGAGGTGGGGTAAACCGAAGCCTTTGGCTAACGTCTTCAGGGACAAATTATTGAGACTCTTTTTCAGGTGGATCTATTTAGGATATACAGGGTGTCCCCGTATTGGTGGTACCCTCGCGAGCAAACTTGTGTTCCTCTAGGGAAAAAGTGACGTAAGGAAAAGACCTCTTACCACTTACAAGGGAAAACACCGAAGTGTCCCCTTCTGATTTTGATGAAACTTCGTATGTATGTTAAGCAATAAAAAATAAGGGATACGTATTTTTTTTATCGGCTGAGGCGCGACTTTAAGGGGCGAAACCACCCCCCGAAGTTTCGATCCGAAATTTTTTTGCTATAAACAAATTATATTTTGGACAATTTGTTAGTACCATATTATTCTACATAAAAAACCACAAATTTCGTCCATTAGAAGTTTTCGTGTATCTCCTCTGATTTTCGAGATAGTACTTACGTGTTCAAACTTCGAGGGGTGTTTTCACCCCTTAAAGTCGCGATACGGCCGATAAAAAAAAATACGTATCCCTTATTTTTGACTGCTTAACAGACATACGAAGTTTCATGAAAATCGGAGGGGTACACTTCCGTTCCTTCGACACGGCGACCAATTGAGAGGCAGATGCAAGCACGTGTGATGAGTCATTTGCTAAGGAAAATTGAATAATTGTTTTTGTTAAACGATATCACTATGGAAATGGTGTGATTTAACTCTTAAAAGTTTAGTTTCGTCTAAATGACAATTGAACTGGAGAGATTTTGCTTTCTGTCCACAGAAAGAGGCTCTGCAGTCTATCTATTGTTTATTATAAAAATCTTACTATACAACTTATATTGAATTTTCATGCAAGCAAACGTCGAAATAAAATAAGCGCCCCTTATGAAAGTAAAATATTCTAAATTGTATATTTATGGGGTTCCTCAAACTCCATCTCATTATGTCACAGTGAAAAAGGTCGTACGTAGCCAGACACACTTTATTTCCTTTCTTTTAATCTAATAAAAGCTGTCGGTTTTGTTTTAAATTACACTGCGATATTAATTCTATACACAAAATTTTGTAACGTTATTTAAATGATCCAGTCTCGTTGCAATATACGCGTCATATTGGGTGTCGTGGTAGTGAAAGCGTTAAAGGTAAATTAAGGAAACCAATGCAATATGGGGTCCACTCGATTCGCATTCATCTCGACTAAAATCTTCCGCAGTAATACCGAAGCTCACTGTATATAATCGTATTTCTAGCTGGTTCAAGTTCTGATTTATTAATGAACAATCATCGTCGTAAAATATCATCGCTCTTTCCCACAAAATATCGTCATAATGTCAATGTCCGTATTTCTAATCATGTAATAATTCTGCTGTCACAGAAATCAATTTGTATTATTTATTTATGCAATAATCAACAATCGAAACTTCAAGGGGCGGTTTCACCCCTTAAAGTCGCGTCTCAGCCGATAAGAAAAATACGTATCCCTTATTTTTGACTGCTTAACAGACATACAAAGTTTCATCAAAATCGAAGGGGGACATTTCCGTGTCTTCCCTTGTTAGATCACGTGGTCACTCAAAGTACTAAAACGTCCACCTTTTACCCAGTAATAAATAATAATAATTTTAGCTCTACTCTTAGGTGCTATGTTTTGTTTACGAAGACGTCCCGCAGTAGTGGGTACCAAGAATACCCGCAGTCAATTAACCACGGGTTAAAAGCCATCCAAATGGCGCAGCAGTAATGGGAAAGAGGTGAAACGGAGTGGAGAGAAGTCGAGGCGGGTCGGTTCGGGCTGGCGAACCGATGGGACGCGAGACGCGCCGTGACCGCGTGCCTAGATCAACTCGCGCGTTTGTTCGTTCGTGTTTATCCCAATGCCGGGCCACGTCGCGGCGTATTTTTAGCCCCTACCCGTTACAATCGACCGCGACATCGCGACGTCTGCACGTGGACGGACGCGCGTTCCTACGCGCGACGCACCGACGACGGTTACTCCGTCGCGATAAATCTACACGCGATCCTTTTGGCCTTCTAGCCACTCCAGACTTGGGGGAGAGTGGGGGGGGGGAGGCGTACCTTTCGCCGGGAGTCAGAAGTTGAAGGATCGACGTTAACCTTGCGATTAATACTTTCGGCGGTCCTGTTTGATTTTGTAGATTGAACCCCTTATCGAAAATGTATTTTGTTATTCGTTACCACGTTTTAGCGATCTTGGAGCATTATCCGAAAAATGGTTTTTGTGATATAGAACCAATATTAGTGGCAAACTTGCATTTGCTACACACCTGATCGACATATAGGGGTCGATGATTGTTTGAGTTTGCAATTTATTTTTGTTATTGTTCACAAATTTACGAGTTGATATTTCAGGGAGTTTTTTAGCTGCATCGAATTTTTCTGTAGTATGTTAGGTCGATCCGAAGGTTCGTATACTTACAGGCTACAACTTTCGAGTTTGACGAAACTTTTTGGTAAAATTGTTTCAAGTACTCTTAATACAAATAATACCTTTTACATATGTTAATTTTGGAGTTTTTTGGGACAATTTCACCAAGTTTCATTGAAATCGAAATGTAGACCTTTTCAAAACTGCATCCCATTTTTATTTGCCTTTGTGCAGTCTTCAAGGAATTCATTGAGTAACATTGAGATGAAATTTGAAGTAAAGAAAATGTGTACGTTACTATGCAGTGGTGATAACGTGAATGGTTACGTCTACTTTGACGGAAATAAAATTATTCTCGAAACTTTATTGTCACATATCTTAAGACAACGCGGATATCAAAGCAGGTACAAGAAATACGTATTACGATCAATAGATCCCCGATCCTGGAATGCGTGTGCACACTATCAAAAAAATACCTTCGAAGGCGATAGCACCGCGTCTATTCAATTTTCAAAATAATATTTCTAAATGAAACATTCTCGGAACTTTATTGTCACAAACCTAGTATTGTAACGCAGGTTTTTCGAGTCAAAAATTGTCGAAAATATACACGTTTAGTTAATAGAGTCCATTGGTCTTGATTTAATCTATACTGCGATACTAATTTTATCCAAAAATTTTTTAATGTTTAAATAATCCAGCATCCTTGCAATGTACCTGTCACCCATATTTGATATAGTTATAGTCTTGAAACAGGTATCAGAAACGTTACGGTCAATGCATCCTTTAATGCGTCTGTCTAATTTTCAGAATGAATATTTCTAAGTGAACCATTCTCGGAATTTTATTGTCATGCCTTGTAAATACAATTGTCAGTATTTGCGTAACGTTCTTCCACTCGGAAACTTTTGTCCAGTTCGAATTACTTGTCACGTTCGAGCCGGGGCGGTCCGGTTTGGGGCGAAGGGAAGGAAACGGATATCAGCGATCTAGTCAGGTTAAGACAAAGTTGTCTGACCTTGCCCACGTGTAGCGAGTTTGGTTTCCCCGTGGCTGAGCGTTAATCAACCGTAAACGGCGCGGTCGAATTCCGTCGACGATGTTTTCCGTCATCTTCGTTTTGGAATTTAGTTAATTGGCACTGACGCCTTTCTTCGAGGAATACCCCCGACAAACAATGAAACAACACAACAGAATAATAAAAAATAATAAATTGTACATCACTTTGAAAAAGACTTATACTCGCGATTGCCATGGTTATAAACAAAAACAAGTAAATTGTAAATAAACCAGACACAGTGGGCTTGTTTTGCTTGGTAAATAAACGTCTCATATGATTACCACGGTCACAAATAAATGCAACTAAAGAACAAATAAACAAGACAAAGTGGAGTTCCACCGCTATGAAAATAAACATCTGATATAGCGATAACAAACAATTACAAATTTGATCTTTTATTGAAGATAATGGTCAAGCTCTAATGGTAATACCGACCGATTGCAATGATAGTATTCCTTTTCTGTTCCAGTGTGCCAAAGCATAGACGTAAGAAACAGCGTGAGTTCGTTCTCGAAATTGAACGGATGCCGAATAGTCGAAGGATTCGTACAAATACTACTGATCGACAGCGCCGACCCGTCGGAGTTCGCCAACATTACTTTCCCGGAACTGAGGGAGATCACCGGATATTTGCTGTTCTACAGGTAAATCTAACGATTTCGGGGGACCTTTTCCCTTTGTCAATCCGTCAATGTTACAACGAGTGACTATAGTCACAGTATCGCAAACTTAGAACGTGTTCAGCGCGTTGAAAATTTGAAAGCAACCAAATAAGCTTCTTGAAGCATAATGACTAGACTGCGGATTTTTATGCAAAATAATATTTTAGAAAGTGATCCGTAAAGACCAGAGCAACGTAGGAATTTATTTCTTCTTTTAACTATCTTATTGGATTAAGAATAAAATAGAAATTTATTTTATTGTATTTCACAAAGTCCCATAGGCTATAAATGCATAAAATCCGCAGTCTAATAATGACAGTAGAGAAATTTGTATAATTCCGCGTCTTTTTCGTATTTAACTGCAGAAATGTTGAAATTGAATATAAATAACATGGGCAGACATTTGTATATGTCATAGGTTCCCAAGGTAGTCTCAATCGTCCACCGGTGGGCGTTGAGGAGATCTGAGGGAGCGTTTTAGTTATTTTATTTTCGTTACTTTCAATTTAACTTTCTTAAAATTCAAAGGTTACGCGCACAACTACGCTTGGAAATTTTGATAATATAGAGATAGTTTACTTTACGGGTGCACTCAACGAAAAAATTTTTAAAAGGGGGATGGTGAGCCAAAAAAGATTGGCAAACTATAATAGATATCATTAAAAATATCGAGGCATAAGAAAACGTTCTTGTTAAATGTTTAACCAGTTTGAAAACACGTGAATTCATTGTGACGAAAGGGTCGAAGAGACTGGCTCGAAGTGATGTAAATTTCCAAACGATATCTGAGAAACGACGGAGAAGATAGCACGCGCGCGACAGATCGGTTTCCCAAGTAAAAACGTCAGCGATCGCATTACGCCGATTTCAGGAAGTCCGTCCGATATTAATCCTTCATAGACGCGTTAACTTGCGCGACGAGGCATCGTGCCAAATGGAAGTTAATTCGCGACATCCGAGAAGACTCGCGACTCTAGTGGCTATGTTTCAATGCAGTTTCGATGCGTTTCGAACTTGTACGTATGTTCGTAAAGTAGGTAATTTAAATATCAGACTTGTGGAACATACGATCGTTCGTTAAAGTACACGTCTCGTTATTATACCACCTAACTTTTGCTGGAAATTATAAGTTCGTGAAAACAAAGAAAATTATTTATCAGCCGAGTGTAGCTTAACCCATTAACAATTTATCCCGAGCAAGACTCGGGCGCGACGCATTTATCATACATAACGTAATTATTAAAAAGATACGTCTGAAACATGATTTTTTACATTTTTTATCATGGATAGTTTAGTTTTATTGTAGTAAACAAAATTTATATTAAATTATTATTATTATGTATTAAAATATACATTTTTTAACCACAAATCGTAATTTTATTCGACTGTTAACGGGTTAATCTTTTGCAGTAAATATATATATTTACGATAACCGTAGAAGGGATTTTGTTTTCGAACAAGTATTAATAATAAAGTGATTGCGTCGAGTAGGTAAAGTCGCCAAAGAAATAGTTCCTTTTCCAATATAGTGTTGAGACTTCAAGATCATATTGGCCAGTATTGCAGTTGAAAATGTCTCATACAATAGCATCTAATAATGCATTCAAAAATATACTATTCCATTTAAAAAAACAAAGTTGACCTTCATATGACCTTTATGCGTCCACATAAAAAAAAGTTCCCCACATCAGAAAGTGTGCCTCAGGACACCATTGAACTTTCGTCTATACATATAATAATAATTTATAATTCCATAAATCTAATATACAATTCCGTAAAGAACGAAAAATCCAATCCGTAAAAATCGTATTATTTCACTGCTCGGTCCTTGATAGGTTCAAAAAGATCGTACAAGTTCGAAGGCTCGGTCACAATTACCAAAAACTCGCGTGGACCAACGTCGAAATGATACTTCTCTTCGTGTCCACACGGAGCGCGAGATCCACGATCTGCAAAAAGCTCCACGGCGTGTTGCGATACTCGATGATAAATCATCCGTGGGCGGCGGAGAACGCGGAGAAACCGGCAAGGCCGCCGACCGTCTCGGATCGAAAGTGCGAACGAGCGCGCGCGCGTCGACAACGACGACTACGACTTCCTCTCCCGAGTCCCGCGTCGAGGGTCACTAAACTTCCTGCCGGTTGCTCTATCGTTATTATCTCGCCCGGTTCCTTTGTTTTCTTCCTTCCTCGTCCTTTCCCTCCTTTCTTTCCGCCTTCCTCTTTGCCTTTTCCCCCTCTCTCTTTCCACTATTCCCCCTTGTTCCTTTCTGTCTCTTTCCATCTTTCCACCTTATTTCTCTCTGTCTCTTTCCACCTTTCCACCTCGTTACTCTTTTTCTCTGTCTTTCCACGTTCCCTTCTTCCTCTTTGTTTCTCTCTTTCTCTTTCCATCTTTCCTCCTTGTTCCTCTCTTCCTCTGTCTTTTTACGTTTCCTCCTTGTTTTACTCTCTCTCTCTCTCTGTCTTTCACGTTTCCTCCTTTTTTACTCTCTCTCTCTCTCTCTCTCTCTTTCTCTGTCTTTCCACCTTTCCTACATGTTTCTCTCTTCCTCTGTCTTTCCACCTTTCCTCTTTGTTTTACACACACACACGCTCTCTCTTTCTGTTTTTCCACGGGATCGTAAAGCACGGCGACCCATAGCCAGGCCGGATATCCCATTCACAGCCGGCTTCTCTCAATTCTTTTTCCTCTCTTCTCGTGTTTGCCCGGGCGCGCGCAGGGTGAAGGGTCTGCGAAGCGTGGGCCGGCTGTTCCCCAACCTGACGGTGATACGAGGCCATTCTCTCTTCATCAACTACGCCCTGGTCGCGTTCGAGATGATGAGCCTCCAGGAGATCGGGCTGCACAGCCTGACCACGATCGTGCGGGGATCCGTTCGGTTCGAGAAGAATCACGCCCTCTGCTACGTGGACACGATCGACTGGGACCTGATCGGCAAGGCGGGCAAAGGGGAGCACGTGATCGCGGTAAGTTCGATCTACTATGGATTATAATTATAAATTAGATCGTGGATTTTATGGCGTTTCTTGCGGACACGAGTGTATACAGGGTGTAACAAAAATGTTAGATGACCCGGAAATGGGAGACTCGCGAGGTTATTTGAAACAAGTTTTTCCTTAGTAAAAATGTTATTTGAGGCTTTGTTAACGAGAGATTAACGAAAAACCCCGACCAATCAGAGCGTGAGTCTGTCGGCCGAGGTCTCATAGTTACGTTGGCTACACGCTGCGATTGGTAGCACACGTTACCGTGGGAAATCCCCTATGTTTTTTTACAATTTAAATGGGAATTCCCTAATTTAAATTAGGATTGAAATGATGTTGCCTCATGGTGTTAGCATTTATGTGTAAAACTGATTTAAGATTAGACATTGTTATAAAATCTTTAAGATGTCACAAGACACCTCATGGTAAAAATAGATACACCATATGCGTATTTAATATCCAGCCGGTATATAGAATTATAAGAAAAGTCCAAAATTCAATTGATGAAAAATGATTAAACCTAGAAAATAATGTTAAATTAAAATTCTAAAAGCTATCTTTCAACACCTTCGGTAGAAATAGTGTTTCATACACACAAAAATTTCAAGTTGATGTGAAAACAATAAATATAACTTTTTTGTCCGTTACTGTATTTCTACTGTTTGTGTAAAAGCGTGCCACTAATGTTTCCTCCAATCATTTCTGTGATCATAACTGTCACTACCAAATCGACAAGTAACAATCGCTCCCCAATGAACCGTTACGACGGACGATCTCAGACAACTCCCAGCACACCCCACAGACAATGGTTAACTTATATACTGGCACCAATTGTATCTATTCTAAAGGGAGGATGGATAACACGTTCCGTTAAAGCAGTCGCCGTTCCCCGAACGAAATAGCGTTTCAACGAAACGATCCCTCCACCCCCGCGGCACGACAATTGCCGCAGGATATTTGTCAAAGGAAAGTTTTAATATCGGCGGAACGTGGTCTCGGAGCACCATTTAGATTCCCGGTTCCCTTGGCACAACGGGGGATGTCTATCCCGCACTCATACGCGAGCGCACGCAGCAAAAGATCGCAACAGCGGCTAATAGTGGCGGCTTCTGGCACGGGCCAAGTCGACACCGTTTTGCCAGAAACTTCCCTTACCTCCCTTGTCCACGAGGGCATTATTCCGTCGAGGAGCAACGAACCAGCCCCCCTTTCGCATCGGTAAACATTTCCATTTGCTGGCCCCCCGGATAGTAAATAATCGTAACTACGCGGTGCTGGGATGTAGTCTCGAGTTGACGACGTACAATGGTCTCCAGAATCGTAATTCAGCAGCTCAATTGGTCGAAAACAAATTTCTTTTATTGTTCGAAAACTCACATCTATTTCACGTTAAGGCCCCTTCTCTTTTTAGCGGGCGAATAAACAAACTTTTTTGTTCGTTTGTCTGAGTGTATAAATAAAGAACACGGAGTTTTATTTACATATCATTTTTGCTTTCTTTTAATAAAAATTTTAAAAGGACCTTCGGATTACAAAACGGTAAAGAACTTTTCGATTTGTATTTGCACGAGGAATACGTATGTTGCGGCGGATTCTCTCGTCTGTTTGGGGCACCTTGTATCTACAAAGTTCCATGTGATCGCGCGAACGTGACTGAACGAATCCAAGGCGAACCGCGTCCTTGCATTAAAAACCACGGTCAGTACTCGGCCAAGAGTCGCAACATTGTGTTTCGTTGAGCGATTAAAAGCCCGAGCGACGTTCTACCTCCCCTTAAAAAGCAAATCTCATTCGGCGAGGTTATTGCGCGCGATTCGTCACGCTCCGTGGCCCACCAGTCGAACGGACGAGTATTCTGGGCTTTTTGTCGCACCCGTTAAGCGACTGGAAATCGTTTAATTTGTTTTTCGACCGGTGCCCGTCACGCGGGCAGCCTCTACGTCGACCCCGATTTTACCCCGCTAACGCCTTCTTTTATTTCCTTTTTTTTTCTCTCTCTCTCCCAACATCGTTCTTTTTTCCCTTTTTGTTCCACGCGAACGCATCGCGCGTTCCAGCTCTCCGTTCGAGCGGATGCGCGCCGGCGTTCCACGGAACGAATCGAAGACCCCCAGTGTTCGATTCGTCGGCGGGACGGTCTTTTGTCGCGTGTGATAAAATTATTTGAACGTGGAGAATTGAACCTTCCAGTGGTGGAATGTTGTTTTGGTAACGTGTGACAGCGCGCGCGATATTCGGAACAAGCGATGTCGAGTATACTTGAATGAAATTATAACGATATGGCAAATATATACGAGTTAGATTATTTAAAAGACTGCTAATTTTCATTGTTTCCAAATTCATTAATGTAACAGATATTCTTAATACAAACTTAGAAGTCGTAATTAAAGGAAATGGGAAAAATTCTGTATACATATATGAAAATCTTATACCGTTTGATTCCGTTGTTCTAGTAAAAGAAATATATTTTTCGGTTTTCACTAAAATTTCTAAATTAATTTATTTTTCACCAAATTTGTTGCACACGTAGTACTAGATCTAAGTAATAAAACTTCTATTTACCAAATAGTCAAGATTCCCGAAAGAAATTGCAAGTGAAATGGTTGAAGATAAAAAGACCATACATTTTTCACATTGCAGACAGTTTTAACTTATTTTTGTCAAAAAATGACTTATGCCACTTTCAAAATCACACATACAAAAAACAAATATAAAGAATAAATTCATAAAGGCTCGTACATTAATTTTCATACCACAGCAAAAGTTACGAAAAATCGGAAAAAAATTCATTGTAACATTTTAAGTACTGTTATAGCAGTGTACTCACCAGTCATTCTGCTTTGATAGTTCTAGCATTAAAATTCAAACGAACTTTTGGTTCGATCGCATAATTGAATAAGCACGTGTGACGTCGCGCGCGAGAGAGAGACGAACCGCGACACGTCAAGAGGTTGCTGGTGACCGTTTCCTTACTACCGAAACGTTCGTTAATTTGTAAAATGTGTAACGGCCTCGTTATCGTCACCGATATTCGCGTCACGAGAGCCCACGTACGCGACGCATGACGTCCACGCTCTCCCGGGCCAGTCGAGCCTCGCCATTTAAGTTTGATCACCGATCGTCTTCGTTTGGACTCAGAGGTCACTGGTTTCTGTGAGGCAACAGATCTATCTTCGTTTCGCTGGACCGATTGCTGATTCAATACTTGCGCGACCAACCGAAATATACCTGACTCAACAGCACCGCCTACTCTTGTCTGTAATTCGAACGTCCGTGGACCTGGTGACAAGTCGATTAATAATATTTATTATGTTCTTGACTGGGGCATTTACAGTGTGAACAAATTTTAGTAACCTATGACGCAAATTCGTAAAGGAAAAATCGTCCATTAGCGCAACCATTCAGATCGTATGACGTCGAAAATACAAATTAAACGGTATTTTTGAGTCTGAATTATCGTTTCTTTGGATTCGATATATAATAGTAACTTAACAATATTTACTTACAAATATATACATTTACGTTTTGAAAATTATCGTCATTATTAAAGAAGATATTCATTCTTATATTTCTTATAGTATTTTGTCCATTTAGCCATTTCCGCGTAGTAACTTAACACACCGGACCTTGGTTAGAAGCGGACACTTTAGAAAATGATAATAATGAAGTTAGCGATAACGCCAAAACGACGAGGTTGTAATTACGGAATCGCCTAGATTGTTGCAGTTTTTTAATTACGTCAATCATCACTCACACCATAATAGTTAGAGTCAACAAAAAAAAAAATGAAGGGACATAACATAAATCTTCAATATGTATTTATTAAATTTTCATTATACATAGCCTCAGATTAAAAAGTTGTAAAAAGCAACCATTATTATTTTCTTCGCGATTCCGACCAATTGCAACTTTGTCAATTTTTGTTTACACATCATTTAGTAAACTAATGTCCGTAACTTCACAAAAGAACTCAAGTCATTTGGACCAATTTTAAAAAAGCTGTTCCGTTTTAAAGGGCGTAAGAATAATTCTAGTCCAATACTGTATCTACCTAACCGATCGGCAAAAACAATCTTGCAGAGCGATAACAAATAAGCATGAAGCAATAAGTCGAAAGTCCAGTGTGAAATTTTTTCATACCGAGCACTGTTATCGAAAAAATCGGCTTTAAAAATTCATGCGATACGCATACATTGTTAAGCACGGCAAATTGAAACTGACTGTAATGGACAGACACGATAACAGAGTCCTATTTAATAGCATGAGTATGCAACATACTGTCGAAGCGGAGTTTCTCGACAGCAAAGCTACCTGTTAGAAAAGCATTACCTCCAGACATTCGATTTATTTTTTCATGAAGATTCATGCCCCAGTCGGTTCTACCATCTGATTAAACACACGCACCGGATAAATAAAGTAGCAACAGATTCTCGATCATCGATAGATACAGTACCAGACAAATGAATTTACATACCGACGATTTTTTTCGAGTGTTTGCCATTAAGCCGACGCTAGCTTTTGTAAAAGTTACACGAAGATACAGTTGATCACAAAAATATTCGGATATCAGTATAATATTGACTTTTGAGCTCTACATTTTGAATATACAGGGTGAGTCAATAAGAACTACTGTCTAAACGAACTAGTTACAGTGATTCCTCGATGAATGCGACACGAAGAACGGCGTTATTCCCACCACTGGGGGCGGTTCCCCTCTGGAACTAATTAATACGTCTGTAAACAATTTACTATGCTTCGTGTAGCATCGAGTGACTATGAAGTACAAATTTGCCAATTCATAAGTATTGATTGTAAGTTTCTTGATATTTTAGAATTATTGCCTCAAGTAGTATTTGACAAGAAAATGATGGTATAATTGTTTATAATTTTCTTTAATTCTTATGTAATGATTTAATAACTTCTAATATCTTACTACGAAAATTTCTAGAGAAATACTTCGTTATGTCACTCGGTCTATAACA